CTCCACTTCTGATTTCCACCCTTCACTTCCTGTAGGAAGAACTGACACGCTCCAGGCTGCACCACCAGAAATTATCTATTTGTAATTTGGAGCTATTTTTGGCCCGGTCCTGGTTAAGTGTTGAGTTCTTGGCTGTTTCAGGCCCCATTCAAGATTAATGACTTCAGACAGGCCCTGAGCAATGAGAGAAACAATCCGGACTGTGTCAGGCAGGATATTACATTGACACATCCTGTGGCTGACAGCTTGTGTCTTTCAGATAGAGAGGTGAGCACCTATTCTGCTGGAGCTACAGTCGTCATGCTCACTGTTCGACTCTCTGACAAACACAGTATGGAAAACATATGCGGATGGGGTTGGGGGGATTAATGTACTGTAGGTAGTTTGAACATAGGTTGTGTTTGGTTGGGTGGGTTCACTGGTATGATGCAAATGTGCCTCGACCAACAAACTCAAATTCACTGCAGTTATCAGCTGAAATTTAAAGGGGTCATGAACTGGCTTTTTACATTTTTTATATTGTTGTCTGAGGTCAACTTATGAGATTCGAGCTCTGTATGTTTAGCTTTTCTAATGTAGTAAACTTGCTTGGTAGCTCACCTGGTACTACAGCGTTGCATGTGAAACAAAGCACTCAAGTTTGAGAGCCATGGAACATGAGTCACAATAAAAGAGCTCAAGCCTCAGGTTTAGTGTAGGTGGTAGCATTTTAGTGCCACTTACCAGACATTTAATTTTAGAACTGTCATGATATGTACAATAACCAGTTTAGTAAAACATTGCCATATTCACGTTCATCTGTTTCTGATCGAACTGAATGCATAGTGCCAATCACTGGACATATTACTTTGAAAATGTCACAAAATCTGCAAGAAATGTGATATAAATTTCACCACAGGAACATATATTAAAGGCCAAAAGAGTCAGACCAAGCAGACAACATAGGTTCAAATGGTCTCAAAACAGCAATAACAAAACCCAGAGAAGCACTTTTATTGAGAAAAGTGCCAACAGTATCATCCGGCATCATAATAAACTCATAACAAACAGCAGCTTGACAAATGAAATAGCAAGCACACCTACTTTTTGTGAACCCCACGATAAACAAATACTCAATGGGCACAACTAACAATTGTGATCAATAAAGGTGAAACACTAAAAAATATCTAATGAGCCAACAAAAAATCGAAATGTTAAAACAGTCCTGCAGGTTACAAATACACTCACACATTCACACTCGCTCTATAGCTTGAATAAATGCATTTCAATTGGCAAGGCAATGTAATCTCATGTAAAATTGCTGTATCTTTTGAAGAGCAGTGCTGTGTGATGATTTTGTTACACAAAACACAGCAAATCATGGTAGAAGCTCCATTTTGTTCAATCAAGGTTTCCCGAAACTCACTTTCAATTTCAAAATGGCTGCCGCATGAACATTGCTGTTTACTTTAATCTGAGGTTTACCCGAGTCTCAACTTCAAATTCAAAATGGCTGCCGTGTGAAATGGAGGGTGGAGAGATATAGCTAGTAGATGCAGTGCATAATCTTGAAATATTTCAAGGTGAATTGGATTTTGTTTAAATTCTTAGTAGGCATACGGTTTTATGCATTTTAATAAAGATTATTTGACTACCGAAAAAGGCTTTTTCAGTTGTGAGAAAGCTGAGAAATGTATGGTTTTACTCAAAGATTCTTCATCAAGGCCTTTGTGGCACCTGCAATAACACATTTTAGTGTGTCCTTATGCCTCCCTTTCTTCTATTCTCTTCTCCTCTCTACACACTTTCACTTTTTCCTCTCTGTTGGTGGGATTGTGAGGTTTCATTGCTATATTTCAAATCGTTGCAAAAAATGATTTGGTAATTACTACGATTAGCTATCACTGGCCTCTGCAATGGCGTGACTAATTATTAGTGAGTGACTATTATGGTTCAAAAGTACATTATTCTTCTAGATTCCTTTGGAGAGCTGATGACATTAATACATGGTCTTATAGAGACACAGATTGGGTCTTGACTGGCCACCCACGCAACTGAGTGCTTTTGGCATTAAAAGGCCACAAGCTTCTGTGGGGGTTTGGCTGAAGAGACATTTTACTGGAACACTCACATGCTGGCAATTGCACTTTCATGAAACAATGTGCAATGCTAGATTTTGGGGGTGTATGTGTGTGTATATATACACACGTGAAACATGTTGTCAGCACTGATCTGACGATTTTATCTGCAAAGTAATTTAGCAACTTAAAAGCTACATGCCTCTAAAATTATGTTTTGGAATAAGCATGGGAAGAGATTTTTATTTTGTTATTTTGCTATACGTGTAATGTGCGAATCGGTGGGCGGGGCTAACGGCCGTGTTGAAGTAGGCGTTGATCTTCTTCTGCGGGGGTGGGGTTTTAACCCCTTTGATGAAAAACGAGTCGTTTGCTGAGCCTGGTGTCAATAAAAGCTTTTGTTGGACTAACAAGGACGTTTTCAGTTTGAAACTTACAGGATATTCTTATAATATGATGACCTCTTAGATGTTAAAATCTTAAGGAAAATTTGATTTCTCTGAGCACAATAATACATGGAAAAGAACTTGGTTTGATACTCACAGGTGCGTGTGCTTTGGATGTGTGCGCTCAAAAAAACATATATCAGAAGTTTAGACTGATATGGCTTTAAAGCACATGTATGCAGATAATAAACTTTCATGATGATGAAGAACCACCATGTCATGTGAGCATGACCACCATAGAGATTATAATCAAAACCAAATTGGGATACTTTTCCCAAAAGCATCGTAAGTTGATCGTAGAACAATTGCCACCAATGGTCTCTACGATCAACTTAGACTTGGAAACGCATCCCGGCTGTTTTAGTTGTTGGTAGAGTCTCTGAGGCACCAGCTGTAAAGGATCCGCCCTCTTCTCATTTGTATTTAAAGACATGAACAGCATGTTTTTCCTTCTACTCAAAAATTGGCATTTACAATTTTGTATTAAATCTTGTAAAAAGGGACATCATAGATCCCCTTTAAAGAATTTGTTTTGCCTTATGGTGTTGCTTGACCAGCCATACCATGACCTTGGAACCAGCAGCTTTGAGAATCGATGAAAAGGAGAATTGATAAGAGTAAGAGATGAAGAAATAGTGAATATATTGGTGTATCTCTCATGTCTGCAACACAAGCCAGGAATGCCTGCTGCATTGGCCAATTTATTCTGGTGGGTGACGGTTGTGTTGGCCATGCTGGTTACCATCTCTCTTCCTCTCTGTGAGTCATTGCTATGTGACAGAGAGTGTGGATTCTGCCGAGCGCTTCCAGATGGAGCTCTACGCTGGGCAGGCAAGGCCTAGCACAGACTATGACCACTGGAAAAGAAGATTGATTTCTTCTGTGGTGTACAACATGCCACGCACCAAAGCTTCACTCTCAAGCTGCACAAAGGAGCCCACAAACATGCTGTTTTCTCCCAAAAAAAAACAATCAGTCCATGTGCAGACACCACTGCTCCTGTGGACAGCTTGAGTTGTTTTGTTTTTTGTTTTTTTTTATCCCAGCCTTGGGTTTTATTTTGAATGATGTTGTTTTGTGCCGTCTTTTACACACTGAAAAAAAATCACCAGTTTAGCTTTTCCTTTAATTTCCCTAACATCCATATTGGGGGTGGAGCCGAACCCGAATACGGTATTTGGAAAGGCACAAATAACGTGTTTTTTTACAAATACTTATTTTGAACAAATACTTAAAAAAAATATTTGTATTCGGGAACAAGAAAAACTTTATATCAAAAAGCTGCGTTTCCTCACAAGACCAAAGCGCGTGAGTGACGTCAGAGACAATTTATATAGAGACATGCCACTTCCTAAATCCTTAATACAACTATATAGGGAAAACCCGTAACGCCAAAGATGGTGGTTGTATGCACATGTCCCGCCCCTCTCGCTGGAAAGTCCGCCCCTCCTGCTTTTAAAGCCTATCATCTGGTTCCACCGCATGCGTAGTAAAAGTATAGCCTGTGGGGAAACTACTTTTAAACCTTAATTTGGGGCAAAGTCATCAAACTTATTCACCGATTTTTGTCATAATGTACTGCTGTTTCTATACATGCAATTTTTATGTCCCGGTGACCAGTGAAAATGCAGTTCTGAGTCTCTGCCCATTCATTTAGATAGGAGCCTGGTCTTGTTAGTCCGAAATAGCTGCCCGGAGGCGTTCCCAAGATGGCGGCCACACATCAACAGAGAGGGCTCGGCTGGGTGAAAAAACTGCATCACCATTTTTGTTGAATAGATTTTTGTTCCTTAAATGGGTTCCGGAGGCAGTTTATAACTTTCGGGAAGCTTGATCTGTTAGATTATCCCATGTTCGCTTGTCAGAGGCACCCGCGCCATTGGATGTGCACTTGCCGCAGCACAGCCTATGAGTGAGCCAGACGCTGTGCAGCTTCAAATGTGTCCGACCAATGAGCTAGCCCTATGTCATTACACGTCAGAACCCGACAAGGGGGCGTGGCCTGACTCAAATACAAATACTTTCAACAAATACAAATACAAATGCTTTGCACACCCCTAATCCATATACAGCAGGGTGTATAATTCATTTATTTAAATAATTTATTTTTAATTATTTTATGTTTTAGAATTAATATACAAATTAAAGAAATACATGTCGAATTATTTAATAAATAAATAAAGGCACTGAAATGCTGTTCTGCACAAATCTTCAATGTGGTTGGGTTTGTAATCCTGGCGTTCTTGACTAAATTTGTAAGAACCCTCCATGTTAAAAATGAGAAATGTATTCAATGATTCCTTATACTTTTTAATATTTTATAGGTTATTTCAATTTTTTTTTTAAAGTATGTTTATGAGCTGTTCTATAAATAATATATGAATTAAAAAAAGTAATTAAAGAGAAATCCATAAAATGATGATCCCATTAGGGAAGGTTGTATATAAAAGTGTGGATCGTTCCTATCCAATTTAACGACTTCATTCTCTTCATGTAGGCTTTTGTTCGAGATGGGCGAAGGGAGAGCACCGTAAGCACCCTCTACATCTCAGCCTCAAACATCGAATCTGGACAGAAGATCATCTGTCGGGCGTCCAACAAGGCCGTGCCCAACGGGAAAGAGACCAGTGTCACTATTGACATTCAACGTAAGTGATACCTGCAAGAATTCAGTTTTAAAACCTCTAAATGCATTGTGATACTAATCTAAAGACACTTACATTTTCACTATTAATGGGAGGGCTGGCTGCTGGATTCTCAAAATGAATTTAGATTCGCTCGTTCTGAGAGTGACATGAAGACGAGGCATCATTTGCGTTGTAAAAATGACACCAATTTGTCAATCGTCCATGTTTCTGACAATCTAAATTTAGAAAGCACAAAAATTCACAACACAAACCACGTTGAAATTTAATCTCCATCCAATTCATTACTAATGGATAAAATCGTGTATTTTCTCCCTTTGAACATCCTGTTTCTTTCGGAAAAGAACAAATTAACTGTGACTTTAAATAGTTCAAATCTCACCCACTCGATCGGTGGCCATTAAAGACTCTTCTCTGGAAGTTTCAGAGAACAATACGGTTCTACATGCATAGCGCAAACCCTCATCACTAATGTTAACTGTGACTAATAAAGCAGAACATGCTATTTAGAGACTCATTGCCGGTGACAGCTCCATTGTGCAACTTCATGCGTGACATAAGAAGTACTTCGCAGCACAAAAGTGAGCTCAGGCGCTGTGGAGCAAAGAAGGCATTAAAGTTGATCAGCATTTGTGGCTACGTCCACATTAATCCGGATACATTTGAAAACGGGGTTTTCGTTTAAAAACGCTCTCCGTCCACACTAGCGTTTTCAGGTGTTTTCCGACGTTTCAGTGTGGATGAGAAACTTCTAAATTCACTTTACTGCGCATGCGTGAAACTTCACAAAAGCTCACTGAGATGATACAGATGGGAAATAAATAATAATGTCATCGCACAATAACAGGATAATTTTATTTAGCAAAATATCTCACCATCACGGATGCGTCCAGGTCGCATTCAGTCACCATATGTTTGGTCTAAAACGCAACTGCTCTCCTGTTTTGCCGCAGGACAGCAAATGTGAGTAGACTACATTATCTGTTATCTTTGCAGTACTGTGCTATGAAGAATAGCACATATTAAAGGGTTAGTTCACCCAAAAATGAAAATTCTGTCAGTATTTACTCACCCTCATGTTGTTCCAACCCCGTAAGACCTTCGTTCATCTTCGGAACACAAATTAAGATATTTAAGATATTAAGATCGCTCCTGCATACAGTCCATAGGCTTCTTGAGGGACTGGCTCTTGCTGTCCCAGAAAAGTCATTAAAGACATCGTTAAAATAGTCCAAGTGACTACAGGGGCTCAATCTTAAGTTTATCAAACGACGAGAACACTTTTGTGCGCAAAAAAACAACAAAAATAACGACTTTATTTCAACTATTCACTTCCTTCTCCATGAGCCTGTAAGTCAGTTAACGTAGTGTGATTGCGTAGAGATACGTCACACGTAGGCTCACTATTGGCCGACGCTGGTCATGTGTGTGTGATGCGTGTGACGTACAATAACAGAAGCGTACGCTATTAAACTAGTAACCTGACTCGCGCAGAGGGATAAATAAACGAATAGTTGAAATAAAGTCGTTATTTTTGTTGTTTTTTTGCGCACAAAAGTGTTCTCGTCGTTTGATAAACTTAAGATTGAGCCCCTGTAGTCACTTGGACTATTTTAACGATGTCTTTAATGACTTTTCTGGGACAGCAAGAGCCAGTCCCTCAAGAAGCCTATGGACTGTATGCAGGAGCGATCTTAATATCTTAAATATCTTAATTTGTGTTGCGAAGATGAACGAAGGTCTTACGTGGTTGGAACAACATGAGGGTGAGTAAATACTGACAGAATTTTCATTTTTGGGTGAACTAACCCTTTAAGTAACATAGAAAGTAACATATTTTAGCAATAGTGTAAAAATGAATAACACATAACAGGCACAATACCGATAAACATGATTGGTACTACATGGATCACATGACTAAACTTGCCTCATCGTTTTGAAATACCTCCGGTTTCACTGTCCACACTACAACGCGAAAACGGCGTTTTCAAATTTATCCACTTTGGAGAGCGTTTTCCAAACGATATGTTTTTGTTGACTTAAAACGCCGTCTCAGTGTGGACGGAAGGCCAAAACGGAGAGAAAAATATACGTTTTCAAACGAAAACGTATTAGTGTGGACATGGCCTGTGTTGCATCAGCTTGGATGTGTTTATGCAAAGCAGTGGACGTATGGTTAACGATGATTGGCCAACAAGAAGCTCCTTTCACCAACGAGAATCCTTTCAGCACGGCCTTTTCCCATTTCTCCGACCTGCAGATATCTCTCCGGATCTGCTCCCCATCCCACCATCTGTGTTTTAATTAAACCACGCGAGAAATCAAACCTACTGTAATTGAAATCCGCCACAACGCTGACAAATTTGTCAAGTCTCTGCACTCTCTAATTTCATTACACCACTCTCACCACCTCTCCTTGGAAAGATGGAAATATTTCAAATGTATCACAGAGGCGAGCCGCCTTGTTGCGAAATTCTACGCGGTTGAAAGGAACATCCCTGGGAGAGAGGCAGGTGAATGAGGAACGGGAGTCGTGCAAAGAGGATTACATGCAGTCAGAAGCCCAGTCCGCTTTTGAATGACTAAATGAATATCCGTCTGAGTGGGATACATTTACATCACCCTCCTGAGCTGGAGCTCTGCAAAGTCGGAAGAAGGGAACAAATAAAGACGGTGAATAGTAAGCAATGACGGCAAGCTCCCCCTCTGAGGATCAAACAGGTGTTTAATGAATAAGTTATGATGGTATCAGCAGGTGGGACAACGCTAAGGATGCAGAAGGCTACGAGTGTTTCCACAGGGGCATCCTCCAGGCCACAGGGGGGGCTGTGTAGCCATGCAAATCAGTTAATATTGATGAAGGACAGCTGTCTGCTGATGCACAGCACAAACGATTCAGAACTGAGCACCTCGCACACTACTGCAACATGCCCAAACGAGATCATTCCAGTGGAAATTACATAAGCGTTTAATATGAATGAATGAAGCCAATGGGTAACTATGTGGAAAAGTGTGTTCTCACAAGCATTCCCTCAGCTGTTCGATTACAAAAATGGTATTTTTTTTTTTTTTTTACTAAAACAAGTTTTAAATCTTAAAAGGATATTTGAAATAAAACGACCTTGCAGATAATGTTAATTTAATGAAAGGAATTTGTTTACAAACTTAAAAAGTGCAGTTTATAATGTCAAATTGTACTCTAATTTGCATTTTGTGTTAATCATCTTTTGATTATCTTAAAATTACACTTATTTTGACTAACGTTTTAAAACACGTGTACTTGATTATAATTTGAACTGTGTCACTCAATTAAGTCTATTTTCAATGTTCTGAAGTTGTGAATTCCTTATTACGGTACATGTTAAATAATACATATATTTAATTGCATGAAATACAATGTTCAATAGAAATTAAAGTATATTTTAGTTTACCATAAATTCAACTAAACCATATTTCAAAGACCTCAGTCAAAAAAAAAGTCAAAAAACCTCTCACATTTGAGATTACATTATACATACAGTACATTTAAACTTTAATGCATTTCATTCAATTGCAAGCAACATACTTATGTGTCTACAAACATTAAAGTCAGTTAAGAATATTATTTTAAAGTTTATCGTTTCAATATTAAGAACAAAAGGTAGTATAAATGAAATCTGGATATACTACGTTCATCACGATGTCATTGTCCCATGACCAACAGCAGTTGCATCGCTTCACAGCTCCTCTCTTGATATTTTGACTGGTCCGTGTACTATGAATACTATGAATTCTGATTTACCACACCTTTCACATACTGTTTTTCACCCACTTATAGTACGCATAATTGGACGCAGGGATTGAAAGAATCACTTAACGCTCAAAAAGACACCCGTCGCCACTCACCGCCAACAGAAAGAGCCATCAAGTAAATCAGTTAATGAATCTTTTCGGTGAACTGAATCAAATTATTTGAGTCAATGGTATGCATCGGATCCCCTCTACTAGCACGCATGTCATTTCTAAGAAAATAAACAATTATAGATAAAGAACATATTTTCCTTAGTCCCTGAAAATCACAATAAGCAAAGTGTAGGCGAGGACAGCAACGCAGTGCCCAGACTCAGCTTTAGCAAGAGTAATGAGAATGAAAAAGAAAAATCAATATGCTTTATTTTACTTTTTCGTCTATGTGTATGTGTGCATCTGGATCGATGTTGTGAGTGCAGTGCAGTGAACATGTTGCCATGTACCCTACACAGCCAGAGAGACAGAGAATCGATGGGTGACCCCAGGTGAACGACAGATATTCTTCCCGTCTGCCTGTTTAAAGGGAGTGACAAAAGGTTAAGATGAGAACCTTGAAGGAAGGAGGGAAGAATGAAAAGATTAGATTATTGGACAAAGACTTTGATAAATTACTTCACCCAAATGAAAGACACTTACTAAGACATTAAGTGGCGTGACTCGCCAAGCTGATAGTGTTGGTGAGCGTCTGTCAGCTAGTTGTCTGTGGCTTTTCACTCCATTCGTTAAGGTAAAACTGCATCTATAGATATAGATACATTGCAATCGATATATTTTATGTCGAACATTTAATTTACATATTTTAGTTTGTCAAATGATTTAAAGGGTACATATCATGCTTTTAAATCATTCATTTTTATATATAAATCATACCGTTGTGGTCTATATAAAACATAACTGCAATGCTTGGGTCTGAATTCCTCATTATTATAGCTCCACAGGCCCCTTTTCTACCCATTTTCTGATGTGCGTATTTGAGCGACCCGTTTCAAAGCGGCCCCTTTAAATAAAAAAAGGAGATGCGTCATACCCCGCCCGCTCTCCAGGTCGATGAGTTCACGGTCGGTTCAACTCCCCGAGTTCGGCCATTATTGTTGTAGTTTGATTAGAGATATACGATTATATACGATACCTTCAAAGAACATTTTTATTCACACTTTAATAAAATGTCAACAACAGAAGACTTGTCCTTCAAGCCTTACATATTCGAGCCAGAG